GCAGGGCTCCTCCGCACCGCTCACCTTTGGAGAACACGGGGGTCTGCCCCGTGAGCTGCTCCAGCACTTTGGCGGCGCGGGTCAGCCGATCCCCGCTCTCCCCGACGCAGATGTTGAGGCAGAGTTTGCGGATCCGCAGCTCCCGCATCGGGTTCTCCTTCTCACCTTGGTCTTGCTGCGGAGAGAGCACACCGGGACTAACCGGGGCTGCCCGGGCCACGGCCCGCCGCTCGCCCCGGCAGCCCCAGGACGCTTCGCCGGGGGACCGGAGAAAGGATTCCGCAGGCGGACACCGCGTCCCGCTCCCCGCCGGGCGCCGCGGCCCCTTCTGCAGCACCGCCGGCACCGGGCGGGCCGCGGCCTGTCACGGCAGCCGCTCCCCCGGCTCCTCCGCGCCCATCCCACCCCCGCGCCTCTCCCGCCGGCCTTCCCCGCTCCCGCCCGCACGGGCCGCGCCTGGGAGAGCCCCGCCGAGCGCGGATGGCGGCGGATGGAGACGGCTGGGCCCGGTCCCGGCCCGCGGCCCCGGCACTCACCGCCATGATGGAGGCGGGGAAGAGGCGGGCGGGGCGCGGCCGCGGGGAATTGTGGGAACGTGCGGGGCGGCGGCGCCCCCTGGCGGGCGGAGGGCCGGGTTGCCATGGCAACCTGCGTTCATTAATGCTCATTATGGAAAACACAGCCAAATACAGTAATTACTGTAAATATTAACAGTAATTACAATTAACCGAGAGAGGGGAAAACAACCCAAACACGCGATGCGCAGTGCAGTTGTTCACCATGCCAGAACCCTTCTGAAACCCCAATTTCTGTGCTGGGAATGACTTTCCCTCTGTGGGACATTCCTTTGGGATCAGCTGTCCCACGGCTTCTTTTGGGAACTCCCTCACTGGCAGAGCATGAAACAAAAAAAAAATAAATTAGAAGAAATAAGAGTTCTTGACTTAGGATAGACATGACGTAGCAAAAATCCAAGCCAAAATTCATTTTTCCTTGCAGCAAAGATGAGGGGAAGTCAGATCCCCAGAACTCTTTCAGGAAAATGTTGGTGGGTTTCAAGAGCTCTGTCTTGGATCTGGATCCTCTTTTTGAACCACTTTGGGAGGATGGCAGCCTGTTCCCTGCTGCACTCAGCTTCTCTGGGAAGGGGGCAGCCCAAACTCACACCGCTTTGGAGCCCAAACTTCTCTGCAGTGGCCACATCCTGAGCAGAAAATGCCTTCAGTGAGGCTCACACTCGGTGAGGATGGCACCAGCTCGAGGCTTTCCCTGTTTATCCCTTTCCCTGCCTCCCCAGAGCCGTGCTCAGGGCTGCCAGCCATCAATTATTTTTTGCCCCACTTGCTTCTAATTGGGATGAAGGATAAATGAATAATCAGCTTATCTCATTAAGGAGCGAAAAACACTGTCAGGAGTCTCCGTGCAGAGAGTGTGAAAAACCTGTGGTTAAAAAGCAACATTGCTGCTCCATTGTGGATTTCCTTCATCCAAGAGAGGCTTTGCTGGAAAGAGCTGCAGGCTGGGCTGGCTTCCAGCAATCCATGGATGCTCTGGGCTCTGTCCCTGCCGCAGGAATGGTTTCCAGCAATCCATGGATCCTCTGAGCCCTGTCCCTGCTGCAGGAATGGCTTCCAGCAATCCATGGATGCTCTGGGCTCTGTCCCTGCCGCAGGAATGGTTTCCAGCAATCCATGGATCCTCTGAGCCCTGTCCCTGCTGCAGGAATGGCTTCCAGCAATCCATGGATGCTCTGGGCTCTGTCCCTGCCGCAGGAATGGTTTCCAGCAATCCATGGATCCTCTGAGCCCTGTCCCTGCTGCAGGAATGGCTTCCAGCAATCCATGGATGCTCTGGGCTCTGTCCCTGCCGCAGGAATGGTTTCCAGCAATCCATGGATCCTCTGAGCCCTGTCCCTGCTGCAGGAATGGCTTCCAGCAATCCATGGATGCTCTGGGCTCTGTCCCTGCCGCAGGAATGGTTTCCAGCAATCCATGGATCCTCTGAGCCCTGTCCCTGCTGCAGGAATGGCTTCCAGCAATCCATGGATGCTCTGGGCTCTGTCCCTGCCGCAGGAATGGTTTCCAGCAATCCATGGATCCTCTGAGCCCTGTCCCTGCTGCAGGAATGGCTTCCAGCAATCCATGGATGCTCTGGGCTCTGTCCCTGCCGCAGGAATGGTTTCCAGCAATCCATGGATCCTCCAGGGCAGCAGGCTGGCACCTGGAGCTGGGTGAGGGGCTGAGGGTGCTGTGCCCCCTCCTCTGGGCAATGCTTTGTGTGAGGAGAATCTTGACTCCACGTTTCAGAGGGCTGATTTATTGTATTATGATATATGTGATATTAAAATGATATACTAAAACTATATCAAAAAGAATAGAGAGAAAAGGATTCATCAGAAGGCTAGAAAAACAAGAATGGAATGGAATAGCAAAGCCTTGTGACTCTCAGAGAGTCTGAGCCAGCTGATTGTGATTGGGCATTAATTAGAAACAATTAACATGCCCAAATCACTGCTGCACCTGTTGCAGACAGTTATTGTTTACATTTCTTTCCTGAGACTCCTCAGCAGAAAGATCCTAGCAAAGGATTTTTCATAAAATATAAAAATATTTTGAATATATGAAATATAAATCCTCCTTTGCCAGGCCTGGATGGTCTGGCTGTGCCAAGATCAGGCTGCAGAGAGGGAGAAGGGATTGTTCCAGCCCCTCTGGGGGTCCTGGGGGACAGAGCAGAGCTCAGGGGTGTCACCCTCCCCTCTGTCCCTGTGTGACCCCCCCTCTGTGATGGTGTCAGCTCATCCCACCCTCTGCTCCTGACTCCAAAGCAGCAAAGAGCTCTGCTCAACTCCAGACACGGAGAATCAGGGAATTATGGAGTGCTTTGGGCTGGAAGGGACCTTCAATTCCACCCCACCCCACTGTCCCAGCCCTGCCCAGCCCGGCCTTGGGCACTGCCAGGGATCCAGGAGCACCCACGGCTGCTCTGGGCACCTGTGCCAGGGCTTTGCACCCTCACGGGGAAGAATTTCCAGACCCCATCTCGTTGCAGAGACATTTCCTCCCTTGGCATTTCCCTGCTGAATTCAGGAAGCTTTTCCTGCCTGGCATGGAGCTTCCCACCCACCCACTCCCTGGACCCTCTCCCATCTCCAGACTCCTCCAGACGGGTCCCACGTGGAGCTCTTCGTGCTCTGAGTCATCCCTGTCCCCAGAAGAGCCCGGAGCTCTGCTCTGCCAGCTGCTCCAACACATTTTCTCTGGGAGAAGGAGTGGGCTGGGTGTGTTTTTGATTCGGTGCACAGAGAGGAATCCATTGCTGACAGCAGGTTTGGGTTTATCCAGGGAGGTTTCTGGCCACAAATTTTCACCTGGCTGATGAGAATTCCAGCTGCAGGGGAGCACTGATCCTGCCAGAGGAGTTTGTGATTCCCAGCAGCAGAGAGGGAGCAAAGATCTCCTGAGCCAGGCAGGGAGGAATGGCACAGGGAGGGAAGGAGTGGGTGCTTCGTGTCCCTTCCCTCGCTGCAGGAATGCTGCCTGGCTGCTGAGCAACTCAGCATCGGCCCTGAGGGAATGGGGGGGATTAAAAACCTTTATTTCACCCCTTAGGATCATCCCTGTAAGAGTGGGGGGGAATTAAAAACCTTTATTTCACCCCTCAGGATCATCTCTGTAAGAATGGGGGGGACTTTAAACCTTTATTTCACCCCTTAGGATCATCCCTGTAAGAATGGGGGGGGATTTTAAACCTTTATTTCACTCCTTAGCATCGTCCCTGTAAGAATGGGGGGGATTTTAAGCATTTATTTCACTCCTTAGCATCATCCATGCAGGAATGGGGGGATTGAAGCATTTATTTCACCCCTTGGGATCTTCCCTGGAAGAATGGGGGTGGGATTTAAACCTTTATTTCACCCCTTAGGATCCTAGGTGGAAGAATGGGGTGGATTTTAGGCTTTTAGGCATTTATTTCACCCCTTGGGAACATCCCTGCAGGAATGTGGGGGATCTTAAGCCTTTATTTCTTCCCTTAGCATCATCCCTGCAAGAAGGGGGAGTATTTTAGGCATTTATTTAACTGCTTAGGATCGTCCTTGCAAGAATGTGGGGGAACTTAAGCCTTTATTTCTTCCCTTAGCATCATCCCTGCAAGAAGGGGGAGTATTTTAGGCATTTATTTAACTGCTTAGGATCGTCCTTGCAAGAATGTGGGGGAACTTAAGCCTTTATTTCACCCCTTGGGAATATCCCTACAGGAATGTGGGGGAACTTAAGCCTTTATTTCACCCCTTGGGAATATCCCTACAGGAATGTGGGGGATCTTAAGCCTTTATTTCACCCTTTAGGATCATCACTGTAAGAACAGGGAGGATTTAAGCCTTTATTTCACCCTTAGCTTCCACTGCCAGCAGCTACAGAAGAAAGGGGAGAGCAGGAACTGCGGAGGCCTGGTGGAAAGGCAAAGGGGAGGACGCGGAGCCGGAGAGGGCAGAGATGCGCGATGCCCACGCGGTTGGTGCTGGTGCCTGCCCCTGGCACGCCGAGGCCAGCGCGACAAGGACAACAAGGACAACAAGGACAACCAGGACAACCAGGACCGCAGCCAGGCCACCAGCGAGGGGCTGCGAGCAGCATCCCCTGGCAGGAAACGGGAAGTGCTTTACAACAGCCCACGGGGCGTGCTGGAAAGGCCGGCCGGACGATGAAGGCTCGTCCTTCCTCGCTGCTGAGAACTTCCCGGCGGCTGCTGCGCCTCTGCGGGAGGAGGTCAGCCAGGGTGTGCCCCAGCCCACTCCCGACGCACGGCAGGGCGGAGAGGATGCAGTGCCACGTGGGATTCCCCGCTGCTGTCCCGGGGCAGCGGGACGCGCCCGCGCTGCCGCAAATTTGGGATTTCTGGGCGCGATCGGGACCGGCGGGATTCGAACCCGCGGCCTAAGGAGTCCCGCGACCACGCCCCCTTAGACCACGCCCACACATGATTTGTCCCGCTCCAGTCACGCCACGCCCTTGCCGCCGGCGGGTCATGTGACTGACCAAGATGGCGGCGCTCAGGGCGGCGGTGCCGGTGCTGGCGCTGCTCGGGCTGGGCCTGGGCCCCGCGGCCGCCGCCACGCCGCTGGTGATCTGGCACGGCATGGGTGAGCCGGGACCCTCCGCCAGGACCGCGGGGCTTGCCTGGGGGCCGGGCAGGAACGAGGGGCGCTCGCTCCGGTGTCCCGCTCCTCCGCAGCGCCGGTCTCGGCGGGGAGCGGGAGGTGCTGCCCCTCCCGGTACCGCGGCAGCGGAGCTCGCGGTGTGTCCGTGGAGGTGAGGTGAGGCCCGGGGCCGTGGCGTGGTGGCGCATCGCGGTGTTCCCTCTGGCAGGAGACAGCTGCTGCAATCCGGTGAGCATGGGCTACATCCAGAAACTGGTGGAGAAAAAAATCCCGGGGATTTTCGTCCTGTCTCTCAAGATCGGCAGCAACCTGATCCAGGTGAGCCGCGTGCGGGGTGGGGCTGAGCCTCTGCAGCCCGCGGTTCTAACAGGATTCCAGCGGGATTCCTGCTGGCAGTTTTCTCTCCTCGGTGAGGTAAACTGCTTTGACAGGCAGAACCCGATAAAGTCCAGCTAATGCCTGCAGAAAAGCACCGGGGGAAAACAAATCCCTGACCTAAATTGGATTAATATGCAAATGCAGTGATTAGCACACTGGAAGCAGAGCAGGCAGGGCGTGGGAGGGAGGCTGTGCTGAGGCAGAGATTTATTTATTCTCCTTTGCAAACATTGATTGAATTCAGTGAAATCAGTTCCACACTTGTGCACCTTCCTGGCCTTTGACAGGGTTTTGTAGTGCTGTGGAATTCGTTGAAATAATTTCTCAGGGCAATGTGGGGTGGTTTTCTGGGTTTTTGATTTTTAAGTTTTATATTTATGTGAACAAAATCTGAAGAGATTCAAGTTGTAAAGAGGTTTGGGGAAATGACACTTTTGCCAACCAGAGCAGGAAGGGAAAGGGAAGTGAAGGTAAAGGGAAGACTCAGAACTGAAATTTCACTTCTGCCCCTGTGAAAGCTCAGGTCCTCTTTCTAAACCACAAATGCCAGTGGTGTGTTTGCAGGGCTGAAAACACCCCCAGGCACAGCAAAGGTACAAATGGTGCACCCTGCTCTGCTCCCCCAGGACATGGAGAACAGCTTCTTCATGAATGTCAACGAGCAGGTGAGCGAGGTGTGCAGGCAGCTGGCCACAGAGCCCCGGCTCCAGGGGGGCTACAACGCCATGGGCTTCTCCCAGGGAGGCCAGTTCCTGTAAGTCTGCACCCAGGGGCTCTGGGGGGCTCACATCCTGCTTGTCACCCTTCAGAAGTGCTCAGCAGTGTGAATTCCTGAAGGCAGCAGTGCTCCAAGGGGGCAGGTTGTGTTTTCCTGCTCCTCCAAGCAGGGTTAAATCCCCTGCAAAGGTTGTAGCAGTGCCCAGGCCCACACAGAACCTGCACAGAGCAGCTGTCAGAACCAGAGGACACAGCTGGGAAGGGGAAATATAGGTTGGATATCAGGAAAAAGATCTTTACACAAAGGGTGGTAAAGTTCTGGAATGTTCTGCCCAGGGAGGGGGTGCAGTCACCATCCCTGGGTGTGTTTGACAGAGCCTGGATGTGGCACTGGGGCCAGGGCTGAGCTGAGCTCTGGGGCTGGGGTGGACTCGGTGATCTTGGAGGTCTCTTCCAACCCTGTGACTCTGGGATGTTGTGATTCTGTGACTCTGTGTATGTAATTCTGTCACTCTGTCACTGATTCTGTGACTCTGTCACTCTGTGACTCTGTCACTGATTCTGTGATGTTGTGATTCTGTCAGTCTGTCAGTCAGTCTGTGTCTCTGTGATTCTGTGATTCTGTCACTCTGTGACTCTGTCTCTGTGATTTTGTGACTCTGTCACTGATTCTGTAATGTTGTGACTCTGTCACTCTGTGACTGTCACTGTGATTCTGTCACTGTCACTCTCTGATTTTGTGACTCTGTGATTCTGTGATGTTGTGACTGTGATTTTGAGACTGTGTCTCTGTGATTCTGTCACTCTGTCACTGATTTTGTGATTCTGTCACTCTGTGACTCTGTCTCTGTCACTCTGTGATTCTGTGACTCTGTGTCTCTGTCACTCTGTGACTGTGTCTCTGTGATTCTATCACTCTGTCACTGATTCTGTGATGTTGTGATTCTGTCAGTCTGTCAGTCAGTCTGTGTCTCTGTGATTCTGTGATTCTGTCACTCTGTCACTGATTCTGTCACTCTGTCACTCTGTCACTCTGTGATTCTGTCACTCTGTGACTCTGTCACTGTGACTCTGTCACTCTGTGACTGTGTCACTGTGATTCTGTCACTCTGTGACTCTGTGATTTTGTGATTTTGTCACTCTGTCACTCTGATGTTGTGACTGTTTTGTGATTCTGTCACTCTGTGACTCTGTCACTGTGACTCTGTCACTCTGATGTTGTGACTCTGCTCCCGGGGCAGGGCAGGCTCAGCTCAGCTCCTTGCTCTCCCCACAGGAGGGCTGTGGCCCAGAGGTGCCCTGCTCCTCCCATGCTCAGCCTCATCTCCATCGGGGGACAGCACCAAGGTAGTGCCCCCTGGCACAGCTCCCGGGCACCTTCTGGGCTCCTCCCTGAACTCTGATCACTTTCTCATTAATTAAATTGTCCCTTTGTTCCTGGCTGGGTCTGGTGATGTGTTTGGCCCAATTAGTGTTTGCTGATTTCATTATTGCTTAATTGGCAGTGGAAAGGCACCTCTGTCAGCAGCTGGCTTCTCTGCCTGGGTGGGATTCTTACACACCTTGGGAGCTCTTGGGATGAATTATTTTGTGGGAAATTCCTGCAGATTTCTGAACCTGAACCTTCTGCTCACGGGGGTATTTTACAATCAGCATCCTGAAGGCCAAAGCCCCAAGGAAAGGGAGTTGTGAGAAGGAATTAAGGAGTGTGGAGTTAAGAGAATGAATGAATTCCAGCTACTCTGCCCTGGGAATCCCACAGCTCCTGGAGTTGTTTGTTTATGGTGGAGAGGGAGGATGTGTAGGGAGCACCCAGCACTGCCCATCCCTTCCCTGTGCCACAGCTCCCGGGGCTGTGGAGGAGCTTGCAGGGCTAAAAGCTGCCTGACTGCCTGGGTAACTCTTCTCCTGCTGTGGTTCCTGAGCAGCAGGAGGGGTGCAGGCCCCGTGTGCTGACTGAGCTGTGTCCCCAGGGGTGTACGGCTTCCCGCGCTGCCCCGGGGAGAGCTCCCACCTCTGCGACTGGATCCGCAGGACGCTGGACCTGGGAGCCTACAGCAAAGCAGTGCAGGAGCAGTGAGTACAGCCCCGGGGAGGCCCTGGCAGCAGCTCTGCCTCTCCAGGCTCAGCCTTGCTCTGTCCCCTCTGCAGCTTGGTCCAGGCAGAGTATTGGCACGACCCGCTGAAGGAGGAGGAGTACAGGAAGAGCAGCATTTTCCTGGCTGACATCAACCAGGAGAGGGTAAGGACGCTGCTGGCAGCAGGACAGCCTGGGAAAGGTTCAGGATGAAGAGTTTCCCTGTCTCTGGGCTCTCCAGTGGCTTGGATGTGTTCTGCTTCCATGCAGGGCATCAACGAGACCTACAAGAAAAACCTGATGGCTCTGAAGAAGTTTGTGATGGTGAAATTCCTCAACGATACCATGGTGGACCCTCCAATCTCTGAGGTGAGGAAGGCAGGGCAGCTTTTGGGGCCTCCTTGTCTCTGGTTTGAGAGAGCAAAGCTGGAGGTTGCAGAGGGGCAGGCTGGGCACAAACCCAGGCCTGGCACTGCCCTGGAAGCTGCTTGGCTCCTGGGAGCCCTTCAGCAGCTGTTCCTGCATTTTTTATCCATTTTTATGCAGTGGTTTGGGTTTTACAAAAGCGGCCAAGCCAAGGAGACCATCCCACTGCAGGAGACCTTGCTGTACAAAGAGGTGAGTTCTGGGGGCTGGGGGCTTCTGCTGTGTCCCCTCTTTCCTGTCCTTGGACCCCCACAGCTCTGCTCTTGTCACTCCTGGGGCATTGCCTCCCCCTGCCAGGAGCTGCTTTTTTGGGGGGACATTTCCCTCAGCCATTCCTGGCACTGGTGGAACCCTGGGAATGACCCTGGAGGTTCCTGCCTGCCTCAGGATCCCCCTCAGAGTTCCATGAGCTCTGCTCCTGATCCAAGCTTTGCTCCAGGACTCCCCTGGAATCCCTTTCCCCTCCACGAGGAGGAGAGCAGAGCTGGAATCTCCCCCTTGTCCCCACAGGATCGCCTGGGGCTGCAGGAGATGGACAAGGCAGGGAAGTTGGTGTTCCTGGGGGTGCAGGGGGATCACCTGCACTTCTCAGAAGAGTGGTTTGACAGCTCCATCCTCCCCTTCCTCCACTGAAGCCCCCCTGGGAGTCCTGGGCAGGGATTTTCACTGGAACTAACACCAGCCATTGTGCACAGCCCTCGTGCAGGCAGGGATTTGGGGAGGGGAACAAGGGGGGGTTTAGCTCAGGGGGGTTTAGCTCAGAGGGGTTTAGCTCAGGGGCGTTTGCCAGGGTGGAACTGCACTCCCAGCTGGGCTGAGCCTTGCCCTGACTCTGACACAGGGCCTGGTGAATCCAGCCCAGCTCCCAGAGCTGCTCCCCACCCCTGCTCCTGCAGGGCACTCTGTTCTGGCAGTATTAACCCAGCTCACCAGTGCAGGGATCAGCAACTCTCATGGCTGTATGCAGGGCAATCATGTTACAGCCCATGCTTCAGGATGGGGGAAAAGGCCAAATTTAGGGGTTTCTGGGGAAAATAAAGAAAAAAAAGAGGGTTTGGAATTCAGCAGTATTAACAGCTTGAACAGTTTTCAACTAATGGCTTGGTTTATGTTCTTTTGTACAACTAAAATCAATAAAGAACTTGCCATCTAACCAACTAAATAAAAGCTTGGATAACTGCTGACTGTGTTTGGAGGGGAGCTGAGGAAAGTCTGGGAAGTATTCCAAGGAATCAAGGCAGGGTCAGGCAGAGAGGGGAGCCTGTCCTGCCTGAGCTCCTGTGTGCCCCCAAAAAGAGACAAGAGCCACAGTAATGAGCAAGTTGGCATTAACTTTATTCTATCTTCTGTATAATTTTAAGTACATAAGAAAGGTTTTTTTCACAAGCCTCAGGAGAAGACAAGTACAAGTCACAGGACAGTTTCAAAATAAAAAAAAAAAAATTTGCATAATTTTCCTTTTCTTTTATTTTTTTGTAAGTTTTGTACTAGAGAAAAAGAACATTGACACTTTACAGAAGAAATGCATTTAAGATATGCTTATGCCACCCAAGGCGTTGGAAAAATGAAGGTCAAAGCACGTGCAGCTCCCTTTGTGGGTCAGTACAGTACTGTGTGATCCATCACTCTGCTCCAGGGCCCTGGAACAGAGGCTACAAACTTCCACCAAAATAAAGAGCCAAGCAACAGGGGGGATAAAAGGGGGAGGATTCAGAGGGGGCTGATTGCAGATGAGGAAGAGAGTGATGAACCGACTTGATCCAACTGGGGTGTTTACAGCTCTGCACTACTGACCTGGAATGGAGGAGCTCCTTCCTCTGGGGAAGGGCACAGCTTCAGAAAAAAACATCCTGGGAGACTGAACCCGAGCTCAGCTGCTCCAGGAAGGAAGCCCTGGGGCAAAGGTTGCCTGGTGGAGGTGGAGGGCTCATGGAATGAGAGGTGCTCAGCTCCAAGCTACCAGCCAGGCTGCTGGGTGGCCGTGGTGACAGCACTGCAGCCTTCCTGTGGCACTGGGGCATGAAAGCCTCCTGTCATGGCACAATCAGGAATGCACTGAGCTAGTGGGAATGATGGAAGAGAAATCAGGGTGGAATTGGCCCAGGTCCTCAGCCTTTGGTCCGACAAAACCGTTCCCATGTCCTGTGCTGCCTCCAGGGAGCTGGAGGAGCTTGCAGGAGCTCCCCAGGACAGCTGGGTGCTGTGGCCTCCAAGAGACACTGTCACTCGTTAAAAAGGGGAAAACATTCCTCTCACATGAACAGTTTTGCTTAAAGGCAATACAAAAACAACACTCTGAAAGCCAACTGCCAGGACTGGCTGTGAAGTTCACCGAGACTCTGATCCATTGTTAGATGGGACAAGGGGAGAGAAAAAAAGAAACCTTCCTGCTGAGAGAGGTGACAACCACTGCCCCGCCACCTACCCCAAGCCCCAGGCAGAGGAATCTCAGTGATGGCAGGCAGCTGTGTCTCTCGGGTAGAAGAGAAGCAGTTTGAGAGCAGAAAGGTACAAGAAATCTAAGAGAATCATCTGAAAGCAGATTTGTCCCACAGCAGGGCCAGGGGAGGGCGTGAGCCTTGGAGCTTTTCGGCTTAGCCAGCAATTTCTGTCACAGTGGTAACCAACTTCTGACCATTCCACACTGTCTTGAACTGTTCTGGGACAGGGAATTCAGTCTGGAGGGTAAAAACAGAAAGCTGTTGTCAAAAATCACTTTATGGCTGAGATTAGTAGCCACTCCCACTGCTTCAGGCATTTCTTTTCTCTTGCCCCCAAAAGGTCCTGAGGAAGAAGCAGCTCTCACAAACCAGCAATAATCTTATTTACAGATTATTTTTTTGCTATTTTCATAAATCAGATCACCACCCACAACCCCCAAACTCCACCAACATTTCCCTACTGTAACCAACCCCCCGTGCAGGGCTCTATCAAGGCACAGCCCCAGCAGGGCTGCAGGAGGATTCCCAAGCAGCACTTACAAAGTCGCCCCCCTCGGTGGGGATGAGCACGTTCATCTCCGAGGACTTGGCACTGACGATCTCGCAGTCGAGGGAGCTCTTGCTCAGGTACACGTGGCACCCATCTGTCTTGTTGATGGAAATTGTTGGCACTTTACCCATGACCTGGAAGGGCCAGAGCAGAATTAGTTTAAACTGGACAGCCACAGCATTTTTTTGGTGTGTTTTCTTTCAAGGCAAGAGGTTTGAGTCCAAGCCCTCCCCTTGATTCAAGTATTCCCACAGCAAAAATCCAAAGTTTTTATTTGCAATTTTCCCCAGTTTCATGTTCTGACCTCTTCAGAACAAAACTTGAGCCAGCACTGGGTAAACTGACCTTCCCAAACCAGATACCCACACTGAACTGGAATAAAACCTGCTGCTGGCCTCCTGCTTTGGCAGCCAAATGTGCTTTCTACCCAAACCCTGAAACAGCTCAAAGACACAAATTTCAGCCCTTTCCCAAGGCACAGATGGTGTTTCATGGGTATTCTCCACAGCTGCACGCTCCTGGTCTGGAAATACAACTGCTCCAGAGCCAGGAGAGAGAACAGGCCACTCACCTGAACTTTAACATCCCTGCTGTTGATGATCTCCACAATGCCCACCACATCATCAAACACCAGACCCAGCTTCTTGCAGTTATCTGCAAAGAAAAGCAGATCAGGGCACAGATTTTGGAGGCTCCAGCTCCTGCACACACACCAGCAGGCAGGAGCAGCTTTCAGGGCTCTCCCCACTCACCGAGGGTGATGGAGTTGATCTTGCCTTTGATTTGGAGTGTGCTGTTTGTGCACTTGAAAACATAGGCTACCTGCTTCAACTCTGTGTCACTGATGACCAGGTTAGTGGCATTCTCCTGGTTTTCCTGAAAAGGCAGGGGAAACACCCTTCATTTTCTGAATGCAGAGCAATTAATCCATGAAAATCCCCTTTAAAAACAAGCAGGTGCCTTCAGGCTGGTGCCTCTTAGGAGGAAGTTCTCCAGAAGTGCCCCCTTTGCTTCCCCAAAGCTCCCATCCCTCCAACCCACTCCTGCCAACACCAGGCACTCACCACTCTCCACTTTTTGCCTTCTAATTCTAGCAATGGAGGTGCCTTTGGGGAGGGATTAGCATTACAGGCAGGTTTGGGAGCAGTGAAAGGTTTGGGGCCAGTTCTCACGGGGCCCCCTTGGTTCTTCAGGGCTGGATTCTTGTGGGTTTTCATGTCATCTGAGACGTGCCTTAAGCCTGCAAGAGAAGACAAACCTGAGAGCCAGCTCCCCTCCAGGAATGCAGCTCCCCAAACACCAGGCAGTGGTTACACCAGTCAAGATAACACTTGTCAAAACACACATAAACTCCTGAGACTGGGGCTAAGTTGAGCCCAAGTGTGAGTGACAGGAAGGGAAGGAGGAAGCAGGAAATGCTGGTGCAATATTGACAAGAACACAACGTGAACCACAGAACCAGAGTGTGCCAGCTCTTCCACTCTGCAGCTGGAAAAAGCCCCGAGCCCAGCACCTCGTGAACTGATGTGCTCACCAGGTAACACAAAAAAGGGAAAAATTCTGTGCAAACAACAGCTGTCAAATTACACTTTTTGTACCAGAAAGATGTACCAAAAGGCTCAGCCTCAAGGGATTTAGAGCTGGAAGTTCATGCCTTGCTCCACCTGCCAGATGAGGGTGACAATTCTCCCCCAGCAGCGCTCCCTTTGTCCGTGGGAAAGCACCAACCCCAGGCTGGGTTTTTATGTCCTCTTTAAGCAGTTGCATTGAGGGGCAGCAGGAAAACAAGGAGCAGCAGCAGCAGGAGCAGCAGCAGAGCAGTCCCTCCCTCCCTGAGCCCCTGACGTACCCGAGGTGATCCCTTCTCCCCGGTTGATCTGCGCGAAGAGCGCCGAGCGCGAGGCCGAGTCGTCTGTGCTGGAGCTCGCGGGGGCAGGAGGAGGGGGAGGCCCTGGAGGTGGGGGTGCAAGCCCAGCCGGGGGGGCAGGAGGTGCTTTAGCCCCTGCTGTGGCTACAGGACCCTGGAAGAGCAGAGAAGAGGGAAGGAAGTGGCACGGGCTCGGCTGCGCCGCGGTGACCCCGGGCTCCCCGCTGCAGCCAGCACTCACTGTTTTGCTCCAGGTCAGCCCCGTGGTGTGGTACTCTTTGATGTAGGCCTGCAGCTCTGTCCAGATGCTCAGGTAAGCTTTCACCCAGTCCACTTGTTTTTTATCTCTGAGAAGGCAAAGAGGAGGAATTAAAGGCTGAGGAAAGCAGTTGTGGTCAGACGCTGGAGCAGCCCCAGCTGGCCAAGCTCAGCCACCCCGAAGAGAAAAGCTGAACTTACACATCCTTGTACTCCTTGAGGATCCGGTTGGTGTAAAACATGGCAGCATCAGTCATCTCCTTCACGTAAGGACCAGGCTTTGGAGCCTAGAGCAGGGAGAACACGTTGGCACTGAGGAGCCAGGCTCTCCCAGCAGCCCGAGGAAAAGCCCTGCCTATGGTTTGATGCTTTGTGTGAGGAGAAAAGAATCTTGACTTTACGTTTCAGAAGGCTGATTTATTATATTAAGATATATATTATATTAAAATTATATACTAAAACTATATTAAAAAGAATAGAGAGAAAAGGATTCATGAGAAGGCTAGAAAGAACAAGAATGCAATGGAATAACAAAGGCTTGTGACTCTCAGAGAGTCTGAGCCAGCTGACTGTGATTGGCCATTAATTAGAAACAATTAACATGCACTAATCACAGATGCACCTGTTGCATTCCACAGCAGCGGACAGTTATTGTTTACATTTCTTTCCTGAGGCTCCTCAGGAGAAAAAGAATCCTAGCAAAGGATCTTTCATAAAATATCATAACTACACCCTGCCCATGGAGTCCTTACCATGGCCACCCAGCCCAGAGCAGGGATGCTCTCGCTGACTGCTGATAAGTGGTTGAACAGTTTGCTGCCACGGTTCTTCTCCCTGAAATTCTGCACAGCCTGGATCTGCTCCGAGATGGGCTTGAGAAGGTCTGAGAAGGCGTTCTGCACAACGACACACAGGGACAGCAACAATTAGGGAGATTAATTAGCAGGGCTCTGGAATGGCTGCACAGCTGAGGTGATGCTGACAAGATCCCAGCTGGCACCAGGGACTGCTGCAGCTCCTGTCCAGGCCTGGCCTCTCCTGGTCCCACAGC